GATTAATATAAGACGAAGTTCCGTCTGAGTTTGATTTGACACAACTTGAATTTCGACTCTGCATCCAATTGGATCATTGAATGGGAAGAAAGAAGGCTAAAGCACGAAGAAGACAGCGCCATTGAAAAAGCCGGACAGCTTAAATACTTTAATGGAGCCGTCATCACCAATGATTGTTTCTGCTATCAGAATATGAACAGGACGATTGAGCTGGTTTTGTTCACCTTCAAAAGCCTGTAACTACCAAGATCCACCTATATCGCGCTGCTGTCGGGTCGGGTTTTGATGTACGAATTGGAAACAGCTGTGGGAAACATACTCGGAAACACCAACACAGATTGAGCAGCCTCCACTAGCCCTGATTGCGATGAATGCTGAACATCAACTGACACAACCACTTCAGAAACGACTATATCGTATGTCAGATGAATATTTGATGAGTTCAGAGAGACACGAGGATCCCTTGCTTCGATTGTTTGCCAGGAAGCGATCCAGCCTCACTCACTAAACTTCTTAACTATTAAGTATGAATCCACATACGGTTGGTGAAAGAACTGCAATTAGCAAATCATATGGCAGAAGAATACGAAACAGTGATCTACTGCCGAGGAGGAATCGATTCCAGAAACACGTTCAGAATTTTTAAATGAGGAATGTTGAGATGAGCAGACATCACTAATCATGGAATGCCTTGGCAAGGAGAATAAAGATGGAGACGACAAAGCAAAAACAACAACATCTCAGGAAAAGCAGACTAAAATAATGAGCTATGAAAGGAAACTAAAATTGAGAACACTAAGCAAATCAAATAAATTCTTCTTAATGCTTGCATTTCATAGGTCACTGGAGCCAAATAACTTGACGGTAACAGTTCGCCTTCAAGTTTCAGAGGGCTCTTCAAGGATGTAGAGGAAACGCATAGCCTACTTTATTGTTTGACATTTTTTCTGTTCCTTAATGAACAATTTTTTTTCGAATTTCGTTCTAGACGAAATTCAAGCCTTCAAGACACTCTGTTTGAAAGACGACTTTTCCGTTCAAGTTCTGAGAGTTACTTCGTCACTGATAAATAATCTTTACGCACTAATGACCATCTTAGTATTATCGCAGTATCACTGATAAATGACAGTACTAACTATCGACGATTAAACATAACTCAATGATTGCCACTGCTCTCGCACATGTGGCAGCGAGAATCTGCCGTTTAATAGCCGTTTGATGACTGCCCTCAGGGCGACGACCCGCACGCTAAAGGTGAGCGATGATCAAGGCGTCGGAGCCGCCGATGAATACGAGGCTAAGCTAATTAACGGGTAATCGCAACGGACGTCGCCGGCCGACGATGACCGATGGCCCCTTTGCACAGACATCGCAGAGTCCATCTGACCGTCTCACCTCGTCTCGTCCTCGGTCAGCCGACGGTCATCACGTTTTCCGAGGCATGGAAACACGGCGAGGAAGACACACCGCTGTTGATCGATTTCACACATGACCAAAGAACGAACGAACGAACGAACGAACGAAAACCTACCGCTAGAGCCGATCATCGCGTTGCGTCACATGTATGTGCGCAGCAGCAGAGTAAACAGGCCAACTCTCGAAGCCGCC